CAAGGAAGAACTTAATGTATTAAATTAATAAGAAACCAACTGAAAACAGCTAAGTACTGGCTGTCTCCTCTCTGCAAGGCACTTATGAATAATGAAGCCTAATTAGCAAAGAGGTGAAAACCCTAGAAAGTTCTCACATTCACCAGGGAGAGAAGCAAAAACTTCATAAGAGATGTCAAGAGTGCACTCAAAGTAGACTCAGTAGAGCTGCACCTGTGGAATCTAGATGAGAGAAGGGTTCATGGAACTAGAAGACAAAACTATGGGAAAAAAATCAATCAGTTAAGAAAATATTAATCGCCATTAGGATAGAAATGAGAAAAACACGGTAAATGTGGCAATGATATAAAACACTCTGTAAGGAATCAAGAAAATATAATCAACATGAAACAACATTCTGAGACCTGGATAAAAAGAGACCAATTGAAGTAATCAGATAAAACGTGGTTTTGAGAAATAAAGGAGTCCTGAGCATACTCAGTGTGGATTTGAGAAGACCCACGGGGGAAGAATAAGACCTTCTGGGAGACTGCCATAGACTCCCAGTCCCAAAAGGAAAACAGTATGAAAGTGGTCTTTGTTAGTAGAGCAGGAGATACAGCTGCATAGCATAGTAGGGAGAAGACAGTATCACACTCAGAGTTGTTCTTAACCATTTGATAAATAAGCTATCCTCTCTAGGCTATTATTATCCACTGTTATCTTGATAAGACTTCTTTCTTAATTAGAAAAAAACAGTAAAAAGACTTTCATGACACAGGAATAATCTCCAGTTTTACATCTGGATTATGGTGTTGAACCAATGACACAACCAAACTTCTGAAGTGCCTCCTATGTAACGTGTTATCTCATGGATTCCTCACAACCACCCTGAAAAACAAGTGCTATGATCTTCACCCAGAAGCAAGGACATGGAGACTCAGACAGCTAAAATAACTTGCCAGAATCTCACAATCAGAGTGGCAGAACTAAAATCAGAAACAAAATCTGATTGACTCGAAAGTTCTCACTTTCCAAGGCAAGTTTTATTATCAGTTGCTTGCATCTTCTAGGTAGACCTTCAATGTGATTTTTATCTTTAAGTTAAAATTCAATCATGCTCCACTTATATCAAAAGAAAGAAAGGATGTAAGAATAACTGCCAACTCTGGAAATCATTCAAATGTAAGATTATTCTGGTTTCTCTGATTATTTCCATCTTGCCTCCCCTCACCCCAAACACAAACTAACCAAAAACCATTCTTTAAAGTTTTAATGTCAGGTTATTTACAGACATTACAAGGCACATGTACAGTTATCTAAAATTAAAAATCTGTATTCGTTTTCAAAGAAAGCTCTTTTAACTACAAATACATACTAGATAGTAACAAGAAGAAAATCACAAAATATTCCAATTCTTTTCCCAGGGTAGTAAAAATAAGATGAACCCACCAATCCTAAGGTATTTTTGATTCTTACAAACATTCAATATAAATGAAAGCTTAAAATTAAAAACTTTTCAGAATTAGACAAAATGTAGTATTCCTGTTATCATAATTTGATGCTTAACAAAGGTACAATAAACACATTTTGCAGTAATTTTAGTATTTTACTACTTATTATAATCTTATTATATTAATCTCAATGTAAATATATACTTTTCCAAGAAAACCACTTACTTGAATTGCAGGCTGCATGGTCATCTATATTGAAATGAAATTGCTGTTCTGAAAATAGAACAAAACATTAATATGCAGGCAACAGTAGTTTTCCTAGTTCCTAAATCCTCAAATTACAAAGAATCTGCTTTACTCTTCTACTTGACTGAAAACCTAAGACTTTTTCTTCTAGTTAAAATAATGTGACTATAGGAGAATTCAATAATACTCCTAGCTTCTTACTTCATAATAGTACTCCTCATTGGAAAGAGGAAAACCTGCAATACACTTTAAAATGTAGTTTCTGGCACTAATATCAGGGTAATTCTTGAAGCATCTGACTAGAAAAATAAAATTAACAATAAAACTTAGCTCATATAAAAGTGTCCTGAATTTCTCCCTATAAACACAATGCAAATATAATGTAAATACAAATATCACAGCAACTTAACTGAAAGTTAAGTATGTCTTAACTGATCTTTATAAAGAGATCATACAAGTTCATCTGAACTTTGTATAAATTCACAAGCTTAACCACATAAGCTGCATCCACCTGATAATAAGGTAATAAACATGAACTTTAACTATGAAACAATACCCAGTGCTTTTCTATAATGATTTTTCTTAAGTTATCTTCTCCATGAGGCACTAAAGACAAAAAACCCAGCAATTTTAATTTTAAAGTACTATTCTTGAAATTTGCAAGAAAAAAAACCCCAATTTTAATCAAGTTACATTAGTACCATTCCTTAATGTAGTTAAAGAGGAAAAAGAATGAAGAGCTTAAAAACACCCAGAATAGAGTATAAGACCTAGGACTTCAGATTACTACAGTAGCATAATATTCTAGTCTATTTTTTATTGTAAAGCACAATTAAAACATTGTAAGAAAAAATATAAAATGGCTTATAAGGCTATAATGCTATCAATTTCCAAAGAAAAGTTTATTTTCTCCTCTAAGTTATACAAACATACCTCATGCACAGGGCCAACTACACACTCCACTTTGCTCTCAGGAACAGTTTTTCTGGTACCAGTGCTGAAGAGGGGTAACCCTAACTGAAAAGAAAAGTCTGATATTACATCTCACATTGTCTTTGCAAGAAGGCAAAGGACAGCAGAACTCCCTTCCTGATGTCATTTTTCCTTCTCTCTACCCTCGCAAAAGGCCAAAGTACAACTGAGCATTACTAATGAACTTGTTATGCTTCCCACGAGGTAATTCAGTGGGGAATACATTTTCCTTTAGCATAAATAATCCTTTGTCCCCAACAAAGATCCACAGTAAGAAGCTTCTGAGACCATTTTTAAAAAATGCAGCAAAGAAGCTGCTCCCATTAAAATAAGGAGACCCACATAATCAGACAAGAGCTTTAACAGTTGGAGCTGCCAACCCAAAACAAAAGAAGGCCTAAATTATAAGGAGTGTGCAAATCAAGAACAGTGACACATTCACAAAGAAACTAACACAGGAATGTTTAGTAGTTGCACTTTTTATGGAAAATTCAGCAAAATTAGTTTTATAAAAGAAATGAAGAATTTGTGCACAACCTTCAGTCATAGAACTTTAGCAGAAGAATCTTATATACATATATTTATCTTATAAATATATATATATATATATTTCCACATTATTCTTCTTACGTAATGGAAAGAACTGCCTTTAAGGTGACAAAACTATAGCCATCCAGATTATCTTTAAAAACAAATTATTTAATAAGTGGTACTCAGATAAGATACTCATGTATCTTTATATGAGAAAAACTGTCATGTACACAAATATATGCTTTTATTGGAAAACATTTATAAACTGGTGAGACTGTATTAGTGAATCATCAGTTAATTCCTGAATATTCATTGTGTCCCAGATACTAAGAGCCAGTTATTGGTATTTTCTAGTCTTTCACTATTCTCTTTCTAAACCATTTTTGGGTCTCAGGCATTTAATTCCAATAGCAGCTTCTTTTCCATAGTTAACCCAGTCCCCAGTCTGCATCACAATTGCAATTCTTGCCTCTTCCTCATTTTATTACCTACTTTTTCCTCTTATCTGTCTTTCCCTAAAAGTCTCAGTCTCTACACTTTTCCCCCACATAAACCAATTATACTGAATCAGCGATTCTTCATTTCTGAAGCTGCATCCTAGTTAGCAATGTTTTGGTTTTATTTTGTTTTTGTCTTTCTGTCTTTCTGAGAAGACTACTTTAATTCTTTGCCATTTTGAGGAGGTCTTTTCCCTTAGATTTAGGGGAAAAAAGAGCTCTCATGTGACCAAGTCCAAACTTTATGCTAACCCTGCTTGGAATCTTTCACAAGACAAACAGCTTATGCAGAGGTCCTAAGTAAAGGATAACATACTTAATCTTTAAAATCTGTAGAAAATGTTAAACGCACAGAATGCGTCCACCCACCAGAAACTTGAACAGGATTTGGGTCTAACCCACTTAACTTAAAACCAGTTTCACCTATGAGGTCCTCAAGATTATTTACGGTAAAGCTCTTTGCACCAATTTGACTTCAGATCATGATGGGGAAAAAATGCCAACCTGTGGAGCTGCTCCTTTATCCTGCAGCTGGAGGCTCTGAAAATGAGTGCACTTTCATTTCTAACCTGCATCATAAGACACGGCGGGGAAAGCACAAGGTAGCCTGCCTCAGTCCAGGTACAAATCGGGGGCACATTTGTAAAAGAATGGCAAAGAAACAAAGAAATAAGGTAAGTTTCTTCAGAAAAATAATAACATTAACTGCCACTGCCACAGATATACATTCAGCACCCAGCCACCAGATTACTGTCAAGATCCGCCAGCTGCTGGGATATGATAAACGCCCAGGTTGGCACAGTGGTTACTGCTGAGCAAGGGGAAGATCGGGGAGGAAGGCACAGAGGCCTTCCACTGTACCAGGAAGACTGTATTTAGATAAGTGGTGAGAACACAGGTGTTATTATACTAGTCTGTATGCCCTTCTGCATGTCAAAAAACATTTTATCATTTTTTAATGCTTCATTTAGATACACAGTTGAAGAAGATATCCTCTCTGATTTGTTCAGGAAAAAACTCCCAACTTTCTCAATTTTAAAATTTGAATTAAATATTCCCTAATTGCCTAATAGAGAAGAAACAAATGCTACATCCATACTAAACATATTTCATTTTTTTCAAATGTATACTAAAATAACTAACCATAAAGGCTCCAATGTGGTAGTAGAAAGTAGCAGGGGCTTACTGTAAGCCTTAGACTGAGTGGTTTAGAAATGGTTTTGATGGAGGAAAAACGTGAATTTGAAGGATGGTGGGAATTAGCCAGGGAGAGAGAAGAGGAAGAGTTCTATGCACAGAGAATAATTTTCACGAAGACTCTGAACAAAGCAAGAGTTTGGCACATTCGAGAACTGAAAGGAGCTAGGACGGCTGAAGCATAGGTCACGTGTGGTTTAGGATGGGGTGGAAAGTTAGGCAGTAGCCCTATCACAAGGGGCCAGATTTAGGAAATTACATTTTACTCTAAGTGCAGTGGGAAGCCACGGAAGAGTTTTAACCAAGGGGAAGACATAATTTAATTCATAGATTTAACAGAGCTCCCTGAGGGGGCTAGGGAAACAGGGGAGTGAAATAGTGATGGGTTTAACAGAGAAAGCAGAGGAGAAAACAGCAGGAGAGGTGCGTAGAGATGTGGGGGAAAGAATTAGGGGAAACAGTGAGAGAGGGAGAAGCAGAGAGTAGAAAACAGTGAGAGCAAAGGAAACTGAGCACTCAGGAAACGAGATGGGAGAGGAGCCTGGAAGGAGAAGAGGAGAGAACCCACTGAGCAGGATTGACGTCTCCACTGGAGAGAAGTGGATGGATGTGACGTCCATTTTGGGGTTAGACTCAAGACTTGATGATGGTTAGAGATGGAGGGTGAAGGAGAGGGATGTAAGGGCAAAGTGAAGTGTCAAGAACGACTCCTGGGTTTCCAGCTTAAGCAACCGAGCAACTAGAGGGTGGCGGCATTTCCTGAGATGAGGATTGCGGGAGTCTAAACAGACTGAAGCAGGGATGACACAGACAGGGCAAAAGTGCTGGGCTTTGGTCATGTTTAATTTGAGAAGTCTTTAAAGACACTCAAGTGGAAGTGTCAGGTTGGCCGTTGGAAATACTAATCTAGAGCTAAGAAGTTCAGGAGATAGAAATTGTCAGAAAATAGTTAGGAGATAAAGCCACTGGAAAGAATGAGATCATTTGAGAAAGAAATGGAGAAAGAGCTGATAAGGGTCAAGTCCTGTAGAAATCCAATATTTAGACACAGGAGAGTCAGCAAAGGATCCCTCAACTCGACTAACCCAGGTTTCTAACTCTTGATTTACCTCCTCCCAGTAGCTCTTCCTGATTGGCCTAACTTAGTTCTGCTTACATGTGTAGCTCTTAAATTCACAGAGCGTTTCTCCCAATTACTTGTCTTTCCTGTGCCTTGCACTATTTTCTGTTAGTTCCATATATCGTTTGACCAAGTATATTATAAGTTCCTGGACTGCTGCTCAAAGTAGGGTTGAGAGAAGTATTCAAGCTGAAAGTTGAGGAACCCTTTTGGTGGGAGATACATGAACATCTCTAGGAAAAACTGGGTGTTTCTGCCGTAGGTGAAATATTACAGCAAAGCTTGGAAGCAGCCACACAGCAAACAAGTATCTGACAAGAGACCTTTTATTGGTATTATTTATTACTTTCACTTTTATTTACTATGTGACCTGAATTGAGAAATATTTTTGCCTCTTACTGAATACCTCACCAAATATGAAGGTGAAGTATGAGAGTAGTTACTAGTCAAGGTATCAGCAGGTCAAGTGAGCTGCCTGATACAGCAGAGGAATCACTAATAAAAAAAAAAGACTAAAACTGATGTGTATTGGGCAGAGGGTCCAAATGAACAGACTAGCTGTGCCAATGGGCAAGGACTCTGGGAGCAATGTGCTACTGAGCAATCCACACAGCTGCCTGGTGGACAGGTACAGTTCTATTACATCTTTTAAATAAACCCCATTTGTGGTAGATGGCATAATGATCCCCAAAGAAGTCTATGTCCTAATCTCCAGAATCTGTGAATAGACTGCCTTCCTGGGCAAATTGGACCTTGCAGATTGAGTAAATTAAGTGCCCAAGGAAATGGGAGATTATTGTGGTGGGCTCATTGTAATCACAAGAGTCCTTATAAGGTGGAGTGCAGAAAGATCACAGTCAGAGAAGGTGATGTGAGAACAAGCAGAGAGAGAGAAGGAGATGACAGAGAGGTAGAGAAAGAGAGAGAGAGGTTTGAGTTGTTACACTGCTGGCTTTGGAGAGGAAGGAGCCAAGAAATGTAGGTGTTCTCTAGAAGCTGGAAAAGGGGAAAAAATGAACTCTCCCCTGAAGCCTCTAGAAGGAATGCACCCTACTAACATCTTTTTTTTTTTTAGCTTTTTTCAGATTTTTGAATTCCCAACTGTAAATAATACATTTATGTTGTTTTTAAATCACTAAGTTTGTGGTTATTTGTTCTAGCAGTAATAGGAAATTAATACATATCTTAAGTGAAGGAAGATTTGCACAGAGGGTCAAGACATTTGACCTAGAGAAAGCAGTATATATCTAAAATATGAAGACACAGCAAGGCCAACATGTTGAAGCAATGAGAAAAAGGGCACCCGCTGCATATAGATGCTTAAAAAAAGAAGATGCAAAATTTATAGGTAGAACCCTTTGTGAGTGCTGCGCATTATTATTTATTATTTTTGCTTCTATTTATTGTGTGACCTGAATTGCTAAATAATTTTGCTATCATCATCAACAACAAATGGCCCTGCCTTTGTATATCTGAGATCATTCATTCACTCATTTAAATATTTAAAAGGTTCCTGGTGTTTACTATCTCAGGGAACAATACCAACATTCACGAACCTACTGGGCCACCCTGATTCCATCCTCTCTCTTTTTTTTTTCCTTCTTTTCTCTTACCTCCACCTGCTCCCCAGGTCCCTACCTTACCTCAGCCAAAACAATCAATGGCCATTATCTTGTTGTCTCTACCTTTAAATGTTCTCTTCAATACCTATGACCACTCCTCTAATTCAAGCCACCATCATCCTTCTCCACACTGACTGAAACAGTCTCCAACCAGTCACCCCTTCTCCATCCTTGCATGCCTCCAACCTGCTCTACATGTACTGCAGTCAGAGTGATCCTTTACAAATTCTCATCTAAGGATGTTACTACTTCTACTTCACTGCTTAAAACCCTTAATGGCGCTCCACTGCCTTCAGGATAAAGCCTAAACTGCTTAACAAAGCTATTAAACCCTTATAGGATCCCCTCCAGCCTCACCTCCTGACCCTTCCCCTCTTGCCATATTTAACTCATTTTAGCCCCTTCAAGTGCCAAGTTTTCTCATCTCTGTGATCTACCTCCAGGGAATGCTCTCCCTCCTCTCTTCCAGACTCACTCCTACCTATTCTTCCGATTCAGCTCCTCTAAAAAGCCTCCTCCCCAATTTAGGTTGTATAGCACTACATGCTTCTATTTTTACTGTACTATATACTTAAAAAAAAAAAATCCATGAGAGAGTAACATTCTCCATCTACTTCTATGTAGAACTCAGTACTAACATTAGTACCAGAATTACCCCTAAACAATAAATGCTGTATTTATTACTGAAGGAAATATGAAACAATAATAAAATAACTCTGTGTTATTCTTTTAAGATAAAGGCAGCTTCCAAAGCAGGTGAAGACTTTTAAAAGAAAAGAGTAAGTTCCTTATCATTTAATAAAACATCACATGTTATTTGCAAAATACAGAGGCTCTTCATTTGTTGGGAGTCTTTGCTTTTTTATTTTAAAATTTCCTTTTGCAATGTTTGGCAGAGATCCAACCTCAATAACTTAATTTTATATTAGAATTATCAGTTTGTCATAACATTTTGTGGGACACAAAAATTTTTTTAAAAAATTTAAAAATCAGTTTGCCTTTCTATATGATAGACTAAAAGGCTATATGGAAAACAGACACATATACAAACACTAACATAAAGAAATGTAAAACATTAAGTGTTTATTAACAGGAAATGGCTAAACTAGCTTATGAGACATCACAGAGTGGATTCATTCAACCACTTGAAAGAGTAAGATAGAGCTGTGTCTACTGAATGAAAAGATGTCTATTATATGTCATGCAACCAAAAGCAACCTGCAGGACATTATATAATTATGCTACTGGGATTGCAGTGTTTTTTAAACTGTGTGTGTGTGTGTGTGTGTGTGTGTGTGTGTGTGTGCAAAAAAGAAAAACTTCTGAACACAGTTAAATAATTTTTTCAACAATTTTTTTCGTGTATCAAAAATATTAACAAGTCATCCATCAAGGAAAAACAAAAGTCATAATGTTTAAAACTCTATATAAAGTGAGTCGTTCACCATAGCTTATACTTTCTTACAGAAAAGTTTATGTTTTGTGAGAGTAGGCAGAAGTCTCTACCAGTCAGCATGTCAGCAATATCTAGCATGTGACTGATAGTCATAACACTGTAAATTTCCATGACACTTTAAGCAACAAAGATGAAATTACGTTTACTATATCTGCTATATTTTATTACATTCTTTGGAAATTAGTAATTCACTTATGAAATACATGGCAACTTCCTGTTAAAATAATCTACTCTAATAATGTAATATCATGAGAAAACTTTTTGAGTTTGTAGAAGGAGAAACACTAAAGAGCTACAATTATAATTATTGCCTATATCTTGTAAACATTACTTCTGAGGCATTTCTCTCTATGGCAGTTAAATTTCAATTAAAATAGGGCAATTCAAAGTGAGACAACTGACTGACAGACTCAAGTTTCTTTTCTCTCAAATTCTATGTACATCACAT